GAAAGACCAAGTAGAGCCAAAACACTCCTGAAGAAGAATGAGATGGGGGATTTATTCCTTGCCAGTTATAGACTTATTACAGCTATAATAATTAAAGACAGAGTGGTATTGGCAGGAGGACAGATTCACAAATGGAGTGTGATGCAGTTTAGAAATTGTTCCTTACAGATATGGAAAATTGATGTATGATAGTTGAAAATCACTAGGAAAGGTAGAAACATTGGTTATTTATAGGAGGGGATGAATTGGATTCCTACTTCAGACCTATACAAAATTCATTCTCAAATTAATTAAAGACTTACATGAAAAAGAAGTTTAGCTACATGTGGGGGCACATGCCTGTAATCCCAGCAATTTGGGAGGCTGAGGCAGGAGGATCGCAAGATCAAGAACTAGCCTCAGCAACTTAGTGAGGTCCTAAGCAATTTAATGAGACCCTGTCTTAAAATAAAAATTAAAAAGGGCTGGGGATGTGACTCAGTGGTTAAGTTGCCCCTGGGTCCAATCCCTGGTACCAAAAATTGGAGGACTAGAGATGTGGCTTAGTGGTTAAGCACCCCTGAGTTCAATCCCCAGTACCCCCATCACACCAAAAGTTTAAAACTTTCAAGAGAAAATACGACCTCAGAGTGGGGAAAACTTCAAAGAAGACCCAAAGCATTTTAAGCATAAAGATGATGATAGTAAAAATGAAGGAAAAGAAAAAGGAATTTCTACTGTTCAAAGACAGTATTAAGAAACTAAAAAGACAAATTGGGAAACGTAATTTATACAACTGGCAAAAGATTAGTATCTAGAATACATAAAGAATTCCTGTCAGAATGAAAGACAATTTAATAGAAGAATGGGCAGATACTCATAGTCATTTCATAGAACGGTAAGTTAACACATAAAAAGATGATCTCAGTGACCAAGGAAATGTAAGATAAAATCATAAGGAGATACCACTGGATTAACAAAATTTAGAAGTTTGATAAAGCCAAGTATTGATGAGAATATGCATGTGCAGAACCCCTTGTACTTTTCTGATACAGTAACCAGTTTCGAAGTCAATTTGACCTAATGGAGGAGACATACATTGTAGTATGTTCAGACAGTTGGAGCACCACACAGCACTGAAAGACAATGACCTCAGCTATAGGAATGACATGGGTTAATTTTCAAAAAGCAAGGTGTTGTCTGGGCATGGTGGCACACAACTGTAATCACAGCTATGTAGGAGGCTAAGGCAGGAGAATGGGGAGTTCCAAACCATCCAGGGAAACATAGTGAGACCTGTCTGGAAAGGAAAAAAAAAGGGTAAAAAAGCACATTGCTTACAGCATGATGTGTTTTTGAGCATCCTCTCATTCCACTCACCCCTTTCTTTCCACCATTGAGAAAAAGAAAGAAAAGTAGTAGATTAATAATGCAAATCCAGGCTGGTGGATTTCTAGGGCAAGGGTTCGTGGCATTTTCGTGCCATGAACCCCCTTGGTAATCTAGTGAAACCTATGAACCCCTCAGAATGTTAGCTGCCTGTTTTAGTAGGTCAAAGTAGGTTACAAGGGAAATTTATTAAAATACAGTTTCAATCATATTTGTTAATGCTGTGATTTTAAATTAACACATTAATTTGAAAGCTCTTCAGTGGTGATCTAGTAAATACCATACTTTTATTTATTTATTTATTTGGGCACACTCTGTATAAATTTGTTTAATGCAAAACAAATTCTTGACAAGGTTTTAACAGAATTTTCAACATCAGTGCAGATAAATGTAATATATTCCTCAAGGAATGAAAAAACAGTTTAGAGCTTGCCATGAAACCTGCTTTTAACAGGTTTAGACATTGTTATTTAAAATGTATATGTGTTGGGCTGGGCCTATGGCTCAGTGGTAGAACATTCACCTAGCAAGTGTGAGGCCCTGGTTTTCATCCTCAGCACCACATAAAAAAAAATAAATAAAGGTGTTGTGTCCAACTACAATTAAAAAATAAATATTTTTTAAAATAAATTTAAAAATGTATATGTGTGTGTGTGCATATCAACGCAATATGGTAGTGTTCTCAAATCATCTTATTTATACTTACAAAAACTGTATGATAAATTTTACACTGAAATACAAGTTTGCTTGACACCTCTTTATCATTTTGTCTTATTCCTCTCTTGCAACTCATTTGTAGTAGCCTCACTATAAAGTCTCCTTTTGGACTCTAGATGTTTGTGTACTTCAAAAGGAAAAGCAACAAACAGTTTTGCAAAGCTTCTTAGGTACAAAATGAACTAAGTAGCAGTGCCAAATTTAGTCTTCTGAAGAACCAAGTAATGTGAAACCATACATTTTTGCAGTAAAGATGAATGTAAATTTAAGTATATGCATGGACTGCACCATGATGCAAGGGATTGTTTCTGCAGGGGTTGTTTGTTGTCGTACTAGCAATGGAACCTAGAGTCTTGGACATGCTCCGCAAGGGCTTACCACTGAGCTACATCCCTAGCCCTTTTTATTTTGTAATAGGGTCTTGCTAAATTGACAAAGCTGGCCTTAAACTTGGGATACTCCTATGCCTCAGCCTCCCAAGTGGCTAGGATTACGGGCATGGGCAATGGCATCAGGCTATTTTGGGGTTTTTTGGTCAAAATTTTGGTTGCCTGAATTCATAATTAAGGGAGTACTAACTTTCCATTGGAAGCAGTGAAAATAAAGATATAACTTTGTTTTCTACTTAAATTCACAGTCCTCTGATCTCTAATCTTCAACCTTTTGGGCCTGTGGACTTGAGATTCATAATTTCTGTGTTAAGAAAGGCAGGGTAATGGTGCAGAGGAGGAGCTTACAGGTGTATTGATAATGGTCTGATTCTTAAATTGGATGAAAGTTCATTTATAATTTTACAAATTATGTATGTTGTCTATAGTTTTATATTTTCCTGAGGTTTAATAGTCATGTAATAAGTACTCCAGACCAGTTAGAGGGATTTTTCCACATGCATATACTCATGTAAAGCCCAGCTAAATATAGAATGTTCTCGCATCTCTGCAGGCTTCCCGGTGCCCTTACCCACCCCCAGAGACCCTAGGTGACCAGTTTTCTAACCTCCATCTTCATGGATCAGTTTCATCAGTTCCTGAGCTTCTTTTCATGGAAACATACAGCATGTGTGTGTGTGTGTGTGTGTGTGTGTGTGTGTGTATTAGTAGTATGAAATATTATATTAAAAAAGAAAAACAAAAAAACTGAGCCGGGTACAGTGGCACATGCCTAAAATCCCAATGGCTTGGTAGGCTGAGGCAGGAGGATCCTGAGTTCAAAGCCAGCCTCAAAAACTTAGCAAGGCCTTAAACAATTCAACAAGACCCTGTCTCTAAAATTTGAAAAAGGCCTAGGAATGTGGCTCAGTAGTTAAGTGCCCCTGGGGTCAATCCCCAGTTCCAAAAATTTTAAAAAGAAAAAGAAAGAAAAACTGGACTCAGACTGTCCCAGACCATTATTTTTTTTAGTAACAAATTTCATCTCAGCATTCCTCCTATTTTTTACTCTTCAATTGATTTTTTTTTTCCTCCATCCTATCTGGAATGAGTTTACAGCAGCAGTGATTGCTTTCTTATTAAGTGGTTTATTAATTTGAAATCATATGTTTCATCAGGAAATTTCTAGAGAGAGAAGCAATTTGCAGCCTCTGATGATAAGACACCCTATGAACTGCTCTGAGACCCTTACATGAATAGTCACAGAAATAAGCTGTTACAACATAAATTTAATCACTCCCACGTTATTAACTCCAGGGGGAAATTTTTTAAAAAAATCTTTGGAAGAGTAAAGGAAAGATGGGCTAGATTTGCCATCAGAAGACCTGATCTTTAATCTTAAAATTATTGGCTTATAAGGGTTTTCCTTCGGGCAAGTAAGACATCTTTACTCTGAGCTAGCCTTACCAAAAAGTGGGTTTAATAGGACCTAATCTGCTCATCCTTGGAGTTGTTGGAATGAAAAAAAAAAAAAACAACTGACATTGGGAAATGCCTGATTAACTACAGTGTCATGATCGAAAGAGGCATTAGTATCATAATTTATTTTACAGATGAGAAAATATATTCAGAGGGATGAAATTACTTTGCATTCAACTAGTTAATGGAAGAACTGAGATTTGAGTCAAGATTTCCAAATTCCAGAGTGAGTGTTATTTCCCCTGAGCCATGTAGCCCTTCCTTCTGAAATGAAGAATAAGTCTCATGTGAACTAAATGTTTTCAAGAGTGTTTCTTTCTTAATTATTTACATTCTAAAACATAGCATTTCTAACCAAGGTAAGAATGTTTTTATCTGAGACTCTTTCTTCACTGACAGCATTTTTAAAAGACATGCTATTATCAATAAGAGTTTACTAAATGAGAAAATCTGCTCAAACAGTCATGGATAATCTTTCCTCTTCTAATAGATCTAACTAGTTTTAGAAAATTTGATAGCCCCAGGGGGGCTGCAGATACAGCATAGTTGGTAGATTGCTTGCCTCACACGCACAAAGGCCTGGGTTTAATCCTCAGCCCCACCAAAAAGAAAAAGAAAATTTGATAGCCCATCACACACTTTTCCAAAGGAGACAAATCTATTGTAATAAGTTATATATGTTCATTTTAAAATAGATGCTTTCAAACCATCTTGTTGATGTATGATGAGTGAGAATAGATTTAATAAAAATCAGCGCACACACACCCGCTTCCAGTTCCCTTTCATTTGGTAGTGTTAAACCACTTGAAAGAATTTTCACATAAAAAGCAAGTGTCAAAAAAAAAAAAAGTGCCCCGATGTGTACTACTTTTCATTCTGAAAAACAGGTAGCCATTTCCTTTGTAAAGTGAGCTGTACCCATACCCTACTGATCTTTCCTTCTGATTTTTGAGACATCTACTCTGACATCTTGTCTGTGAAGGACTTTTTTTTTTTTTTTTTTAACTACATTGGTACTATCCTGATAATTCTCTCTCTTTTTTTTTTTTTTTTTTTTTATTATTTATTAGCTACCTTCTAAAGGACTTTTGTGTGGGACTCACCACCTGGTCCTAACACTAGTCTTCTTTGAGATGTTGCACTATAGCCTGATGATCTACTTCCCATATCTAGAAGTCCTGCATAGCACAGGAAGAATATGAAAATTGACCTTTCCTTTCTGTACCTCTCTTCTTGTCTAGTGTGAAGAGTGACACATCCCCCATCCCCTAGGACTAACAGAAGTGTCTGTTCCACAGTATGAAACCTTTTGACCTAGGTGTGAGTCCTGACTCCCCTACTTAGTAACTAGTGAGTGATGATGGGGGGCAGATGGCTTAACTTTTTCAAGAGTTGTTTTCCTCACCTCACATGAGGATGACAGTCATGCTCCTTCATTTCAGAATTGGGTGAAGATCTAATGAGGAAACATCTGGCAAGCTGTCAAGGGCCAGACATGTATCAGTTATGTGCATAGCAGGTGAGCTGCTATGAAACCAGAGCTGAGATTCTAAATGAGAAAAACCAGCCTAAAAAATATGACATATTTTACTTTTTACTGAAAAAGCCGAAAATGACATCATATTTTTTAAAAGAAATTTTGATGATTGAGTATTACCAGGTAGCCAATAAATGTGCTTCAATGAGGACAATATCCTTTGGTATTGCCTTTTGCATTTTAATTGTATGACACTGGACTTTCCAGAGTGCTTTTAGAGGTGCTCAAGAAGTATCTCCAATATTATGGAGGCTCTGCCAGGTCTTCCTATCCCTTTTACTAGCATGCCCTTTTCCTACATATTATTATGGGTAATTCAGTCTAGACCCTTTTCTAATTGCCACAAATCTATAAGTTATTTTGAATTCCTAACTTAATCAGATTTTTTTACTTTGTTTAGCTGGGGTCCCCAGAGTTACTCACAGCTCATTTTTCTTTCATAGGTATTAAAACCAGGCAAAAGTGTCTTGTTCCGTGACTATGGACTGTATGATCATGCCATGCTTAGGTTTAAAGCTGGAAGCAAACTTGGAGAAAACTTTTATGTTAGACAAGATGGAACCCGATCATATTTTTTTACTGATGGTAAGATGAATGGAATCTATCCTTAAAATATTTTATTTTTTATATTTGATATGCTTGATTACATTATCACTGCAGTAAGGGTGGGGAGGGCTTATAACTGTACTTAGCACATGCACAAGTCCTTGGGTCAATCTCAGTGCACACCTCTTACCCAGCACCTGGGACAACAAACAAAGCTTCTTGATGACAGGGCCTAGTTAGTGAGTCTGGGATAACGGACAGGCTCTGACATGCCATGTGGATTCCTTATGGTAGCTGTGCTGGAAAAGGAGGGAGGGCAAATCAGAAACTTCATTTTATTCAGTTTAAAGCAAATAAGGCAAATATAATGCCTTAAGATTACTTTCCAAGATCATAAAGGCAAGTAACCTTTTTTTTTTTTTTTTTAGATGTTAGGATAGACCTTTATTTTATTCATTTATTTATATGCAGTGCTCAGAACCAAACCCAGTGCCTCACACATGCTAGGCAAGTGCTTTACCACTAAGTCACAACCACAGCCCCAAGTAACCTTTTTTTAGTAAAAGTAATTTGATCTGCCAGGCATGGTGGCTCAGGACTATAATCCCAGCTACTCAGGAGGCTGAGGCAGGAGGATCCCAAGTTCAAAGCCAGCCTCAGCAACTTAGTAAGGCCCTAAGCAACTTGTTGAGGCTTTGTCTCAAAAAGGGCTGGGGATTTGCTCAATGGTAAATTGCCCCTGGGGTAAATCTCCAGTATCCCCCCACCAAAAAAAAAAAAAAATGTAATTGGGTCTGTTTTTAAATATACAAATTTGCTTTATAAAGAGATATTTACATTATTTTGAATAAGAAAATTCTCTATTTCCATCTTTTAAGTGTTTCAAACATTAGTTTTAAATCTACGTAATTGGGGCTGGGATTGTGGCTCAGTGGTAGAGCGCTCGCCTAGCATGGGCAGGACCCGAGTTTGATCCTCACCACCACATAAAAATAAAGGCATTGTGTTGTGTCCATCTACACCTAAAAAATAAGTATTAAAAAAAAAAAAAAAAAACTACATAATTGTCTGAGCCATAGATAATTACATTCATAATCTCTACTTTCACAAATATTTTTACTTCTGGAAATATTCTTTTAGACACTAAAATGAAACTAAAAATGAGTGATTACCACTAAAACTATAATATCATAAAAATGTCAGGAGAAGATATTTTAATATCTTTTAATGCTTCTGGTCACTAAAATCTGATTAATTCAAAATAATTGAGAAGCCGAGCACAGTGGCACACTCCTGTAATCCTAGTGGCTTGGGAAACTGAGGCAGGAGGATCACAAGTTCAAAGTCAGCCTCAGCAACTTAGTGAAGCCTTAAAGCAACCTAGGCCCTGTCTCTAAAAACCATAACAGGAAGAGATGGGATGTGGTTTTGTGGTTAAGCACCCCTGGATTCAACCCCTGATACCAAAAATACATAAATATAAATAATTGAGAAAACAGTAATGTCTGTAGAGTGCTTCAGAGTAGTGATACTCTTATTAAGAGTCTTTATTTTTCACTCTGGTCATAGATTTTCCTCCTTCCTATTACCAGGACACTGAGCACTGTTGGCCTCTTTGTCTTGTAGAATTCCTGGCTCAGCTCTTTGTGGACACAGGTTATGAAGAAGTGGTGAACGAGTATGTGTTTCGAGAGACGGTGAATAAAAAGGAGGGCCTGTGTGTGCCGAGGGTTTTCCTTCAGAGCAAATTCCGAAAGCCTCCGAAGAACCCAAAGCCTGCAACCCTGGGCCTGGGTCACCTGGCTGGGAATTGTGCCTCCCCTTGAGGAGAGGAGAGTTTGAGATTACTTTTTTAAGATTGTATATTTTTATATTTTAATTTTTTAAATTAGTATATATAATTCATGCATTTAAAAAAGGAACAAGCGTG